AAGGAAGGGTGAATAATATGAGTATGCTTTCAATTTAAGGGCACAATATTTAGTCAAACATTATAACGTTTATAATGATTGACTCAAAACATTTTTTATGGGAAAAACGTATTTGTTAGCTTTGCTGATCTAGATTCATGAATTTAACATTTTAATTAGTTTTAATTTAATATTAATTATTCTTTCATAGAAAAGTATCATCACAATACCAAATAAAATGTTATATTACATTGTATTTATCATTAAAAAATTGTCTGACAAATTCCGTGAATTATCATGAAGCTAGTTTTACAAAGAAAATATTTTTATTTACCCTTAAATAAATATTAAATTTATTAATAATGACATATTTAGTATGTGATATCAACTGCTGTGACAACATTTATATAAATTTATGCAAATTTTGTTAACATTATCTTATTTATAATTTGAATTAATTACATAAAAATACTAAAATTATTCATAATAATTAAAACTATATTTTATACCCGAATTATAATTACTATAATTTAAACAAATTTTAGTATTGAAAACAATGACAACACTATCGCTGCTGAAGAATAGGTCAGAGTTCGGATCACTGAAGATCAGACCACTGTTTGACCGAAAAGTGAATCCCAATCCACACCACGAATGGGTGTCACAAGAGTTGATCCAATGGTCCAAAGGGTTCGCCGATCAAAATCAACGTTTCGACGAAATGTCGGTTTTGTTTGCAAGTTATATGTATAGCGGTTGCCAACAGAGGGACCGGATGTTAGCCATGTGCAAATTTTCAAGTTTTACTATGTATTTGGATTATGCGGCTGAAAGTGCTCGTAGAGAACGGTCGGCACTTCTTATGGTTGAACTGATTGAGAAACTGTTGACCACTGTATTGACCGGACGTACGGACAACGACTTTGTTTTAGGTTTACTCATTAACATTTACCTTTATATGAAATATTATAATGTAAAACGTGGTAATAAATGATAGGCCGCCGATTATTGGATACAATGGAAGCGGTGGATGTGTTTATGACCAGAGATCAGATGAGACAATTGAGGGACAATTTAAACGTATGGTTTGAAAGCCAACGGGAAGTGCATTGCGATTATTGGCTACAAAATCGGTTCATACCATACAATCAGTACTACAACATCAGAAGCAAAGAATCGGGTATTAAATTACATTTTATTAATTAATATGTAAAACAATAATAAAATTATATACAGTGCAATTTTTAATTGTGATAAACTTAATAATTAAAAACCAAGATTAAAATGAAATTTACACACTTTTAATGTTAACACAACACTAGAATTATTTTAAGGATCTTTTTAGGGAAATCTGCTTTATAAGAAACTTTTACCTTATATTTGTTTGTTTCTTGCAGAGGTGTAGTACTGTATACGATTTAATCACACATAGTTAATTTAATTATTCATTGATTGGTTTAATAAATAACTTGATAAAATGTTACAAAGGGTGGCTATTGTTCAGATTGTTGGCTGACATCTGTGCGGAATATACGCCCCCGGAATCGGTGCTCAGGTCTCCACCAATGGCTGCATTCCGGACGTCGACAACACGACTGGCCCTCGCGATCGACGACTATTTGATATTTATGACCAAAATGGCCGCCAATGACATCACCAGTGGTGTCATGTCTTACGCCTCGACCGAGAAATGCAGTCTTCAGACGGCACTCGACTCACAGTTTCAGCTCATTAAGGACTTGGAGGCCGAGTGTCAGTCCCTCTCCACCACTATAGCCACCGAATCAGGTCCAGAGTTTCAGACACCGGCACTCATGGCATATGTGAATACACTGTTTGATATGTCTTATGGCGAGTATTCAGGCATTGAAGTGATTTACGCGTACGAAGTGAGGGATGGAGTGATTTGGTGTCCAAAATGGGATCAACTGAAACGACAGCTCTTGGATGACAATAAGGATTTGTCTGTCAATTGTTTTAATATTTGAATTTAATTATTTATTAATTTTAACAAACACTAAATCATTGTGTGTTTTATAATTGCTTTGATTAATTTAATTAACAAAAATACATTAACAATTTATAAATATGGTAATACAGGTATTTATTTTATTTGTATTATGTTTAATTTTGGTTTATATGGTTAAAGACTGAACATTAATTAAAAATAATAATTTTGCATTACATACATGTATGTCGAGAATACTAACTTAAGTTGCCCTTGGATATAGTATACATGAAGTATAGTGTACTGTATGCCTTATAGGCCCGATACCCTGTTTAGAGTAATTACGATTAATTACATATGTTGTTTAATTAAATCAAATGTTATTTATTCTTAAGGTTTTTATGTAACGTGCAGTATTTATACACAGTTTAGTGTTTGTGATAGAAGTTTCCTACTATTTGAATAAATGATGATAAATTATTATTTATTATATTTTCTAAAGTATGAAAATAATAATTTTGTGGCAGGTTTTAATATAAATCAAAGTTTTGAAGTGATTATTTTAAAGGTAATTAATTTTGAAAGCAATAACTTTTTACATAAAAAAATTTCTAATTATAAAAGGAATAATTAATTAATTTTATCCATAATAACATATTTATTACTGTGAATCCATAGCTCCGACAGCTCTTACATGATAATCAAGTGTTGTGTCTCTAGTCTAGACTGTAATAATGCATTTGAATTCGATGTATAATTGTTCGGGGTAGAAATGATATTTTTAATGTATATTGCAGTGTAAAATCATTTATGTGCTTTCATTAAAATGCAAACACAATACTCTGTGAAGGCATTGCAATTGTACTTTAATATATTGTTTAATACAAAGTTTCACTTTTCTCTAATTTTAATAATTAGTTATAATTTGAATTAATTGTAATAAAATTCATTAAAAATTACTAAAATACTCTTTGAACGCCACCGGCAGTCACTGGGGGGCAGACGCGGGCCAACTCTTCTAATAATAATCGCATTGAAGGGTAAAAAAATGAGACTTAAGTTAAAATAATTAACTGTTTTATTCAAACAAAAGCTCTACAGTATAATAGTTTAAAGTCTATAGTCTAAAGTAACTCTAGTTAATAAATACAATGTACTCCAAATCTTATTTACTCAACAACCTAGGTAAAGTGCAATAAAATATAAGTGATTCCTTCGTATGGAAAAGTACTGTGATATTTTATGCACATGACTTTTTATGCAAAGATACGCAAGGTAATAACTAGTTATCATAGGTAATGAGTGATCACTACTGATAATAATTAATTGTTAATAACTATACTGATGATAACTAGTTAAATTATCTACAATATATTGATATATTCTAAATTATATTCCTAAACGTTCGTAACTCTTAGAAGTGAACCGTTAATTAATATCGAAGTATTATTTGTAATAAATTATAAATCAAAAAACAATGACAACACTATCGCTGCTGAAGAATAGGTCAGAGTTCGGGTCACTGAAGATCAGACCACTGTTTGATCGAAAAGTGAATCCCAATCCACACCACGAATGGGTGTCACAAGAGTTGATCCAATGGTCCAAAGGGTTTGTCGATCACAACAACTGGTTCGACGAAATGACTGTTTTGTTTGCGGGCTATTTGTATAGCGGTTGCCAACAGAGGGACCGGTTGTTAGCATTGATTAAATTTTCCAGTTTTACCATTTATTTGGATCATCACGAAGAGAGTGCTCGTAGGGAACGGTCGGCACCTCTTATG